TTCCATGATCAATTTTTTCATATAATAATTCTCCGCCACCAATTTGTCCCATATCCATCCAACAAGTAAAACCAACAAGTTCTAAAAAATTTCGTAATTCTTTAACTTCATCTTGTATATCCCATTGATAACTAATAAAAACTGATGGTAATGGATATTGTGTTTCTCTTTCACGTAATATTATTTCAACTAAATCATCACGTCCAATATGTTTCATTGTTGCAAATAACATATCAACAGCTAATGATGAATTTCCACTACGAACAATCCAATCTGTAATTAATTGTAAACTTGGATTTCGACTTAAAGAAAATTGATCAATAACAGATTGTTGATAACCAAGTTTTTTTGCTAATATAATCCATGTACGATTTTCACTTAATGTTTTATTTAAATTTATATTTATTTCTGATGTTGATAATAATTTAGCTGTTGAACGTATCCATCCAGGTAAATTTGAATCTTCAAAAAAATGATTCATAGATTTTTGATCATATAATATATCAATTATTGGTACAACACGTGTTGTTGTAAGTTTTGGAAACCAACTACGATATTGATTTGTTGGTACACGACGAAATGAACATTCAACAATCTTTATAAAAATTTATTATGAAGAAAGAAAAAACAACAATAAAAAAAAAGGAGATAAGAATTATTCACTTACAGGATTTGAAAGACAATGATCAAGATTAAGAAAATGTAAACATAAATTATTTGAACAATAAGGAGTTTTATGTAAATCACATATTTTTCCGCAAGGACATACTACCTTGCATTGGAATATAAGTCGACGCATCCATGTTGATTTAATTTCATTAAGTAATGATTCAAGAAATTTACGTACCTATTTCAATTATTCAAATGTTATTTTTAAAATAAAGCTGACAAGTATAAAACTTATCAATGTTTTTCTTTACAAAAAAAAAATGATACCTTCAATTTATTTATTTATTTATTTATAAAAAAATTTTTAGTCAGAATATTACTATCTATGAATTCTTTTGAAGTATTTTACATATCTTTAGATCATAATTATTATATTAAAAAACTAACCTTTGCTACAATAGTAGGATCTGCTAATTGAGGATTAATTTCATCTTGATTTTTATTATTATTATTATTATTATTATTATTATTAGTTGTTGTTGGTGTTGTGTTAGTAGTATTGTTGTTGTTTATATTTGGATTATTACGAATAATTTGTACTTTCATTCGAGCATATTTCATTGATAAA